AAAAAAAAATCACAAGATGGGATAAGACAATACTACAGAATTTATAAGGAAATCTATGTTTAAGAAAGATTATCTTTGCAAATGCATACAAGATAGTTAAGAATACAATGCCTTGAGCACAAATTAAAAAACTGATTTTTAAACTGTTAAAAAGCTGAAATTCCCCAAATCACCCTCACTGAGTGGTTCTAGGCCAGAAGAACTTGCGTGAGATTTGGGAAGTAGAAGTGAAGCAGCAGATGTTACTGAGTGGTCAGTCAGACTGGACAGAGGTTGCACTCAAACACCTTGAGCCAATAACACTTTGTCCTTTGCTGATGGATCTGTACATACAGGGGAGCACATTCAAAGTTCAGGCCGTTTTCAAATCTTCCCAGGTTTTTTTCATCAGGCCCTTTTGAGTATCCTATGCACATGCACGTAGCCTCAGGGTTGGTCAGGAATATGCGAATATCTTGGGGCATCTCTGGTCTCTGCTGGACATGTACATAGCCTCAGCCCAATATATGACTGCCCTAACTAGGACTGCAACCTCAGGCTAGTAGGACTAAGCTTTTGGCCTTCCCACTCTGGCCAGCATCAAAGTCACTTCCACTTAAAATGTTTCTGGGCATGAGTATCACCTACTCCTTCACATTGAGTGAGTTTCCTTCAGAGGACAGAAAAGGGGCCAGTCCTCAAAAATTGGATAGTTATCAATCTTTTTGTAATATATTTTTATAATATATTTTTTTCATTCACGAGTTTCTAATTTTGATTCATTTGTTAAATTGAAAGTTACTAACATAATTACTATAGTAATGGTATATGAATGATATAATTCCAGAATTCTGACCTAAGAATACCTTCTGACCAAAGTATGGATGACATTTGATGAATACATAATTCATAGGTCACACTCATATTCTTGTACAGAAACAGCTTTATTACCTCTAGAGTTTTAGTATTGTGAAATAGTTCAAAGCCCTTCGATTTTTGTTCCTTTGTAGCCAACTAATTTTTCCTGGTTGCATGCTATTATCATGAATTTAATCAAACCATTCAGAATAGACTATCAAACTAAAAGGGTATGTACTTAGAATCATGTCAGAATCATCAGATGTTTCTGGCAGAGAACCT